AAATATCCTATTTCTCCTCAAACACTTATGACTGATTTTAGCATCCATCAATTGATCAGGTCTGCAACAATATGGTGGTGTCTGCCTGGTGGTGATTTTTTTTTATTTCTCTCATTCCTTCTATGTTTATCAGTTGAATTTTTTTGGTAAGGAAGAGACACTGTTTCCCCCAATTACATATTTATTCAATTATGTTGGCTCCTGTATCATTTTCACATCTTCTCATCCTTTTTCAATGACCTCAAGCACCTCCTTGTTTTCTGGTACAACTGATTGGTCCAGCTTGTATTTTTCCAAAGGAGGCTCAGTTTCTTTTATTGAAGAATAGTGTTTAGAATCCAAGATCTAGGTTCTAACTGTGCTGATTGCCCCAAGAGTACCACTATTTCAAGGCCTTCTTAGTAGATGGAGCCTGGAAATGTAGGTATGTACACTGACCCATCTAAATGTAGAGGCATGTGTATACATTAGATATGTATTAAAAACAATGATATTAATACTGATACTTCTGTTTCCAATTCAACACCACAAAGTTTCTTCTAGCCACCCCCTCAACTCCACTTTCTTATTTGTAACATTTCTCATTTCTTGGAAAATGAGAGACCTGGCTCTTATATACAATATATTCACTTATTTGTTCAGTACTAGGAAACACACAAAGTAGTTAATATTTTGCTAATCCATACCCCAATGTGAAACAAATTTACTAACTAGTGTACAGCATTTGTTCTTTAGTCTTTATCATTTCAGAATCCAGTTAATACATGCTTTCCAAAGTTACTTAGGTTAATTGTTTTCTTCCCCATCTCTTTCAGTATGAATATGTTAGTCATTTGTAATGTGTTTAATTTGTTGATTTGTTACTATTTGTATTACATCTGGGGTTATTTTCCCATCCTGATTTTTAATAATTTACATTTTGGATATATGAAACATTACTCTGGTTCTGAGTCAAAGCTACATAGAAAGTATATACACTCAGAGGAGTCTCACTCCGTTCTAATTCCCCTCTTCTTTTCACCCCTTGACTACTCACAACTGTAGGTTATCAGCCTCTTCAGTTTTTGATTTATCCTTCATGTATATCTTTTGCACAAATAAGATGCATGTATATTTTCTCATATCTCTTTTCTTATGTGAAGGGTAACAAAAATACTATACTCTTCTATACTTTGCTTTTTTCCCCTTTCACTCCCTCTTCTTTTTGGCTCAATTTGGTGATATGCTCTGTCTTGGATCTGCATAATACTCCATTTTCACCATCTTTGTGCATTTTGTTTTTGTTGCCGCATCCCAGAAGCCCCAGCCATTCTCTCTGTTTCCTTCCATAAAACCACTTTCAGCTTATTTTTAGAGTAAGATTCCAATCTTACTGTGGTGTTTCTTTATTAAGAATTTATCACTTGTTACTATGCCAATAATTCTTACTAGATTATGCCTTTTAAAAAAAAATTCTCTTGTTACAGAGTTGTAGAGGCTTTGAGGGTCTTGCTTCAACAATTTCCCCTCCATAAATCCTGTATTTTTAGTGTGCAAATTTGAAGAAGATAAGGCTTTTGCAAAAAATTATTTAGTAGCGGAAACACCCCATTAGCGGTTTTATTATTACTTTTTGAGTCTTCTAACACATTTCAAGAGGACATCAATTTAAATTCCATCTAAATTTTCAAAAGAGCACAATTTTGATTTTGTATGTGATACTTTTACTGGAAAAAGTATCTGAGCCAAGTACCCATATACTATTTGTTATATATAAAACATAACCATTTACTGTATTTCTTTTCAAAAAGCTTGTTTATAATGTCTTGCAATTGGGAAGCCATCCTGTAGGAATAATTAGTAAATCTGTGTACATTTCTTTACCTCCTTTTTTTTTTTAATAAAAACTGATTCATCCTATAAGCATCTAAGATTATTCAAACTCATCTAATTAAGAAAATTCAAGCAAAGATGCTACTGCTTGGTAATCAGTGGGTGATGACTCAGGTTTTGTTAATGAAAAGTCTTCACCGGGCGCCTGGGTGGCTCAGTTGGTTAAGCGACTGCATTCGGCTCAGGTCATGATCCTGGAGTCCCAGGATCGAGTCCCGCATCGGGCTACCTGCTCAGCAGGGAGTCTGCTTCTCCCTCTCCCGCTCCCCCCTCTTGTGCTCTTTCTCTCTCTCACTCTCTCTCTCAAATAAATAAATAAAATCTTTAAAAAAAAAAAAAAAGTCTTCACCAAGGTCAGCAAAATGTGAGTTTGAGATGTTTGGGTGGGTTAAGTGGGCATTTTGACAACAAGGCTTCTCCTTTGGCACGTTTAATTGTGATGTTTAATGACCATCCTTGCAGTTTAAGATGACCCTTTTCAAACAAAATTCTCTCCTAATGATGACTTGCACCCTCTCACTCCATGCGAGAATTAGCAGAGCCTGTAGGATCTTATTTGGAATTGACATTCTCTATTGTAATTTTGTTCCTATTTATTTTTAAATTCTCTTTTTGTTTCACTGGAAGGATGATGCACAGTTTTAAACATTGAAAGTGTACAAGTTCTTTTGTTACAATAAAACTAATGTGTACACACACACACACACACACACACACACACACACACGAAAAGCCCTCACCAGGTGCAAAGGAAGAATAACTAAAGGAGCGTCTCAACACTGGTGATAATGATGCTAATATTATTGAAGACTAGTGTAGAGCTTTTAAGCCCTATTAGGCATAAAAATTACTGGGGGGGAGGGGGGATCTTGTTGAAATGCAGATTTTGGTTCAGCAAGTCTAGGGAGGGACCCAAGGTTCTGAATTTCTAACAAGCTCCCAGGTGATGCCGATGCTGGTTTATAGACCCTCTTCGATGAGGAAGGTTGGAGGTATTAAGAGGCTAGACATATTTCAATAGAACCTTTTGCAATAATGGAAATGGTCTGTATCTGTGATGTCTGAGCACTTCAGTTGTGGCTGGGGAGACTGAGGAACTGAATTGTAAATGACACTTAATCTAAATGTAAATTTGAATAGACATGTGGTTAGTGGCTACTGTCTTGGCCAGTGAATATCCTTTTTTAAAATAAAGGTATGATCGTGTACTTGTACCTGTACATGCACACAAGGTTGTTTTGGGGAGTTTTATGTTTTCATAAATGGAATGTTATTTGACTACATTATTCTAAACATCGCTCTTCATTCTTCATGTCTTGGAGTTCTTTTCATATCAGTATATATTGATATGTATCATTCTTTTAAATTACTATGTAGTATTTCACAGTATGGATTTACTATGGTTTATTTAGCCATCTATTACTCTATTGATGGATATTTAGGTTGTCCTTTTTTTTCCTCTGCAACTACAAACTATGAGGGTAAGAACATCTTTGTGCATGCCATTTCAAATACATGTTTGAATGTTGCTTTTTTAAAAGAGATTTATTTATTTGAAAGAGAGAGAGGGTGGGAGAGAGAGCATGGGGGAGGGGTAAGGGCAGAGGGAGAAGCAAACTCCTCACTGAGCAGGGAGCCTGACACGGGGCTCAATCCCAGGACCCTGGGATCATGACCTGAGCCAAAGGCAGACACTTAACTGACTGAGCCACCCAGGCGACCCTGAATGTTTCTATAGGATAGATAAAGAGAAATGGAGTCACTGGGTCACTGCAAATGAATACTTAACATTTTCGTGGTTTCCACCAAGTTGCTTTTGAGAGAACATGAAATAATTTATTTCCATTAGTTGAGTGGGAGAATACCATTTCCTCGCACTTTTGATTGGTATTATCAACATTTTTTATTTTTTGTCAATTATTCAGTGAAAAGCTACATCTTATTTTCATTTACATGTCTGTAATGAGTAGGGAAAATAAACACTCATTTATAAGATTCTTGATCATTTGCCCCCCCATAATTGTGTAGGTTATTCATACACTTCTAGTCTTTCTTATGAGTTCTTGAATAAGCTTGTCAAACTATATACTAAATATTATTGGGATATTTTGGGGATTGCACTGTCTTTGTGGATAAATTTGGAGAGATTTGGCATCATAAAATATTGAGATTCCTATCTATGAATAATAATATTCTCCATTTACTTAGGTTTTCTTCTATGTACTATAACATTTACCTTTTCTCCTGTAAAGATCTTGTATATTTATTATACAATGTTGAATGAATATTTTAATGTTTATTCATAGGTGTTTTATACTTAGGTTTCTGTTGTGAATTTCTTCCATTACATTTTCTGTCTATTGCTGGCAGACAGGAAAACTACTAATTTGTGGATGTCTAGCTGCAATCTAGTCACTTTGTTGAGCTCTGTTATTATTTGCCACTTTTCATCATATTCGTTTTCACAGTCTATCATTTGGTGAACTAATACTACCCTGGAGCCTCCATCTATATCCCAAATCCCTAGGAATGACAGAGAAGTCATATAAAGAATAAAATTCATAGCATGGAGAAATACGCACACTTTTCCTTTCCCCATGTGTACAATATGATAGTATACTGTATACACTGGTAATCATTTTATATTTTCTGCGCCCTCCCAATAGTGTTCAGTATCAGTACCCAGGAGAGGACCCTCCTTCTACTTAAGGGTGACACTGTGTGGATATACAAGAATTTCCTGTGTCCTGCTAAAGAGACCTTTGCCCAATCTTTGACTGTGACAGTGAAAATCCTTGTATGAATGTCTGTGCACAAGTATCTGCAGGATCAATTTCTAGAACTGAAATCCCTAAGCCCTGGATCAAAAAGTATATATATGCATCTTCAGTATTGATAGCTACTCTCAAACTGCCTTTGTGGAGGCTGTGCCCATACACATTCTCAACAATAGTATATGAGCGTGCTGGTTCCCACACTTCGGGCCACACAACCTATGCTGTCCTACATTGTCTGAAAGAAATAGGGAGAACTGGCATCTGAATTCATTTTGTAGCAGATGCTGCGGATGTCCCACCAACTTTACGGGCCCCAGTAGAGGGCAGTTCCTGCACCTTCTGACCACCTACCTTGTGTCTGGTTCTTTCTGCTTCTCTTCCTGAATCGTTGTGCGGCGCCACAGGAATTTCCGTAGCTAATGCAAGGCTGGGCACTCCAGGGTGGCTGGAAAGTAACAGCCCATTAGGCTCTCGGAGGTAACTTTCAACATATGAGGAACGGGAACCAGTGGATAGATGCACAAGTTTCCCTTTCCCTCAGTCGGCGACTCTAAGCCACATCCTTGCCGATTCCTGAGTGGAATGGAACTCTTGTTGACTACAGCAGTGATCTTCTCATTGAAATATCCTTTACTAACGTTTCCACCTTCCTACCTCACTTTCCCTACTCCCTCGCGTCCTGATCTCACCTCCCAAATAAACCACATGCACTCAAATTCTGGCCTCAATACTGGCTTTGGGAGGACCTCAACTAAAATAGATGGTACCAGGTTTGGTCCTCGAAAGTTGACACTCAAGAATGGGACTGGAGAATTTGTTCACTCCCTATTCAGGGAGCAACGAGAGTCTCATTGCGGGTTTAACCTGGAAGCCTTGGAGAATGGCACATCAGTCAGCCAACTATCAATTCAGGGCATGCTGTGAAAGCTAGAAGGCTTTCATGGCCAAATTTAATTAATTAGACCCTCACCTCTTGCAGCAGGCGGGCAGACTATGCCAAAAATTAGCCTCAAAATCCCATCATAAAAATGTCAGAGCTGCAATGGAGACCTAATGCACGGCCAGAGCAGGTGTCCTATCTTAATGTCAGAGCCATGGAAGGGAAGAAATAGGATTGTGAAATCTGGGATGGTTGTATTTAGGTGAATGCCTACACAATCCTCACCCAATATTTTTTTGAATCTTCCGGGTAGGCGTGCTGATTTATAAAAAGGCCTCCCTTTTCCCCTGTGTTTTCTAATACTTTTCTTCCCTCCCTCCTTTCCTTCTTTTTGTTCAAATTTGATCCAACTGTAATTTATTTTGTTGTAAGGAGTGAATTGGGAATCCAACTTCATTTTTTTGTGCTAGCTATCCAGTTCTTCAGCATCATTTACTGCATATTTCATCTTTCCCCACTGATATAAAATGCCGGCCTGACTATACATTACATTCTAGTACGTCCTTGGGTCTTGTGGGAGAGAATGCTAGGTACTCACCAAACCTTTTCCCTCCTCTTTTTGGGCACACAGCAGGGTGATTTCTCAGCTTCCGGTGCAGTTAGGAAATGATGAGCCTCGCACCTGAAGTCTTCTGCATGTAACCCGCCATCTTCCTAGCCTTCTGCTAGCTAGAACGGAGATATCCTCCAGGACAACTCAGGGAGCCACATGTCCAGAATGGTAGAGCTAGAGATGCAAGGAGCATCATCCCAGAATCCTTGCTTGCAGGAGAGCCTGCCAAGCAGAAACACCTGTTTGGGACTTTATGCAAATGAGAAATAATCTTTCATTTTGTATGAGCCACTTGGTTTTTTCCTTTTCCTTAAACTAGATAACCTTACTTTAACTAATATAGATGTATTTGTGGACTCTGTTTCACTCAACTCATGTGCTAGCATTACAGTTTTAATTAATACAATCTTATATTTTGGTACATAGTAGGGCTAATCTCTTCATTAACTTTTGTTTTTTTTTTTCTGGTTTTCCTTGCATGATCATTTTTCCATATGAACTTTAGAATTAGCCTCACTACTTAAAATAATATCTCCTTCATAATGCTTTTTTTTTTTAAGATTTTATTTATTTATTAGAGAGAGAGAGTGCGCATGAGAGAGAACACAAGCAGGGGGAGCAGCAGAGGGAGAGGGAGAAGCAGGCTCCCCGCTGAGCAGGAAGCCCGATGTGGGGCTCGATCCCTGGACCCTGGGATCATGACTTGAGCTGAAGGCAGCTGCTTAACTGAGTCACTCAGGCGCCCTCTCCTTCATATGCTTATTGAAATTACATTATATGTAGTTTGATATGGGAAACACTGACATCTTTATAACATTGAATTTTTTTTTATATAAACACGTATCTTGGGACGCCTGGGTGGCTCAGTCAGTTAAGTGTCTGCCTTCAGCTCAAGTCATGATCCTAGGGTCCTGGGATTGAGCCCCGCATCCGGCTCTCTGCTCAGCGGGGATCCTGCTCCTCCCTCTCCCTCTGCCTGCCACTCTCCCTGCCTGTGCGCTCTCTCTCTCTCTGACAAATAAATAAATAAAATCCTAAAGAAAACAAACACATATCTTTCCATAGATATTCATGCCTTCATTTATATTCTTCAATACCTTCTTAAAGTTTTTTCTGCATAAGTGTTAATGTTTCATTTAGTTTATTCATAGGTTTTTTTTTTTTTGAGCGAAGTGGTGCTATTGTAAGTAAGATCTTTTCTTCTGTCATAATTGGTTGTTGCTGATATAGGAGGCTCACTAGATGCTGTGTTGCCCATTTTAGCATGATGTCAAAAATAAAACACCAGTCTGACATCCAAAAAAAGCACTTAAAAGTAAAATAAATCTTAAAAAACATTTCTAAATGTCTATACTCCATAGCAGAAAAGCAGACTGTATAAACAGATTATGCTATTGTGGGTTTATTCAGAATGGTCAGAGAATGTCTTCCTTTTTGGCTGGAATTCCAAAGAGCTACTGCATTTATAAACTTTCCATATTATTTAACAAACAAGCCTTTGTCATGTTGGGGTTTGTGGAAGCCCTGTAGACCTAACTGTTCTCAACTAAGTTTCTGAACGACTTAGAAATAGGCATTCAGGCAGATGAAGATAAAAAGGTCGCCATTGTTACTGACAAAATGGATACTAAAGAACGTGGCTGAGGTCTGTGGACACAACTGACTTCCTGACAAACTAGCGGTGAGCTCTCCTGCAGGGCCTGTTCTTAGGACCGAGGCGGGAAGGGCGAAACAGAACGTGCACACACAATGCTAGCAGAAGGCATCTTAGAATCCCCTTCCTTCACTCTTGCTCTGCCGAGCAGTGAGGAAAAGGGCACAGCAAGGTCAGACTCTACTGGGAGGTGCCTCCCCATGGAAGGAAACTCAGAAGCGAGGAAGAGGGTTACTTCACCAACACTTGGCAAAGCTATAATCTAAGGGCAATATTCTTTTTAGGGACCAAAAGTTCACATCCACGGTTTTTGTATGGTAGTGTTAAATATAAGATTCTGAGGCTGAAATTCAAACGATACACATTTTTACATCGTGTTAACATAAGCACTGGAACTTATGGAAGTGGAACACGGTTCTTACCAGGTTTTATCCACAAAAGAACAGATTGCAAAATACCTGGTAGCCTTTCTTCCATGTTTAACACAGTTGTTCTATGGACATAATCACTAGATTATAGGTAGTATCCTTTAGCTCTTTTGGACTCGTTTTTAACACACTTAATCCTTGGTAAATGTTCTTGTATTAATGCTTCCGTTTGTTCAATTTGCTCTCAAAAATAGCATGCTCACAAGAGCATGTACAATATAGGGTCCATAATAAGGCGGAGACCCAGACGAAGGATGCTTGTGAGGGGTCTGGAAAGAACAGTGAGATGTTTGGAGGTACTCACTCTACCCCCACGTCCCCAGCAGGCTCTGGCTGATACATGGGGGACTTTTTTTGCGGGCAACATTAAAAATGATGAAGATAATTCAAGATTTTATGAAGGTAAATTATAAGTCGGGAGGCAGCAATTTCCAAACATTGACCGTATTAGAGGTTTAGCATCACAAATCCTAGCTTTATCTGCAAGCAGGCAGGAGGTAAAGTGTAAAGAGGAAAAAAAAAACACAACTAGGGAAGGCTTTGACTTCCCTGATACCTCCCCCACCGCACCCCTGCCCCTGATTGCATGGGTGGAAGTTTTAAAATTGTGAATAAAGGGATCCTTGTACCAATTTCAAGACAAAACTTTTACACTGTAAGTAACTCTGCTTAAAGCTGATACTTCTTTTCACAGAAATTCAGTAGAAACTAACATAGGGTTTAAAAAAATCAGGATTTAGGAGAGGCATAAGAAGAGCAGTTGAGACTTGAACAGCCATCACAGGACATTCAAAGTAGGGCTGGGCTTGGAGATAACAGTCAAATGTTTACTGAATGGTTCTTGCATTAAGGGTTTTGTATGTTATTCTTCAGAATATGCCAACGAGTTAAGCTCTTATTGTAAAAGGGAAGCTGAGGCTTAGAGAGGTCATTCGGTGGGAACAGTGGAGAAGGGGACACTGGAGCCAGGCAGTAGCTCTCTGAAGCTCACACTTTTACAGCTATACTCCGTATCTTTGTCTTGGCATGCTTCGTATCAACTGGGGTGCTAAGGCCCCTAAACAGTGCTGATGGCTAGGCTTCAAGGTCTAGGTGCCATTGATGAGCATTGTGAAGTTACAGACATGGTAGGAAAGCTGTAACTAGAGGCTGGCTGACTATTCAACAAGGTCTTCAAAGGAAGTGAAATCATGCAACCTCAGCCTTGCTTCAGCCTCGGTAGAGCTCCTGCTTCTGAATCCTAGGAACCAAACTCCTAAGATACTAATGCATCGAATGCCAACTTACTAGTTCGCAATGGTAAGACATACCCTCCAGTGAGTGACCAGAATATTTACCGTTCAGAGAACTCTCTCCTAAGAATCCAGGTTCATAGAAACCTCCTCAGTCACCGTAACTTCATTTGCACCCAAATGAGAATAAAGGGACAGGATGGCACCGATGTTTGGGTTCCTAGGAGTGCAGCTGGAACAACAAAACCACAGAGACAGTGCAGGACCAGTTAGTTTAGAAACAAGCACTACAAGAGTGCTGTGACTCAGGATGACCAAGCACAGTCCAATAAGGATCCTCACGTATCTCGAGCCGTTCTGAGACGGCCAATAAAAACTCCTTCAGTTTCATGCAAGTGCTTTCTCCTAAGATGTGTGCTGAATGAGATAATCCTGTACTAAGCAACACCACTGACTCTAAACTATTAGCAGTATGATGCATACATTGCCAGCAATCCAGGGCCACTACTGCTAAAACAGAATAAAGATTTAGAGAGAATATCCTATAAAGAGTGAAGAACCTTGACTAAGTGCTCCTTGAGGACCCAGAACACTCAAAGACAGAGGTCTACAAAAAATATTTCTGAAGGAAAAAAAAGACTTAGCTTCTTGGATACTGGGGAATATATACTTTTTACTACCAAAGCTCTGGTCAATGCTTATATTTAAGTCACAGTTTTTAAAAAATTGCTCAAAATCCCATGCTTCCGTGATATTTGTACATAATCCAAAACCCTGTATGGTGGTATTCCTCATTGGTACTTAGAACACACATGAAGGATGTCTTGATAAACTAAGTATCTTCCTATTTGAAATGCAGTGACATAATTTACCAAGTTGGTGCTAGTCAACAAATAGGGGCTGAATTTGATTCAAAGAGAATCACAGAGCAGGAGGACGAAACAACGAATATTCTGAAAAAAAGAAACTCATGCCCTTTTATTCTACCTGAGTTAAAAAAATGATGAATCACATCGAGTTCATGGGAATTGTAATAAATGACTACTCAAGCAGATCATAAGATCAGTACTATGAACACACTGAGATCATATACAACTAGTGCTAGTTTGGTTTTAAATCTTTAAAACCTCAAAACACACCTTTTTATTTCTTTTAGCACACAAAATAATTTACTCATAAAAGTAACATCCATTTACAGAAATCTAATAATTTTTTTTTAAATTTAAAAATAAATAGCACTGTTTTACAATTCTGATTTTACAGAGAAAACTTTTTGGCACATAATGTTCTATCAAAATGGAAAGTAGCATCACTTTGCTTTGCTTTTCACAACAGAAATAGGCATTCATGCTATCAGCCTTGGGAAATCAATTTGGTGACAAGAAAAATTTGCTGGAAAACAGCATCATTGGAAAAATGGGATCTGGTGCCATCTATTGAGTGACGATGGTTATGGGACTTGGGTATTAGCCATCAAGTTAGGTAACACATTACAATTGTAGCTACATGCAACTCAACATGTACATGTGGTCAAGGCCCAAAAGTTACATGCAAAAATGAAAACAACTGCTGTATTAGGATTGAGGAATGGATTGGTGTTTTTTTCCCCCTCTAAATGCCATCCTACCTTTAAAAAAAAAAAAGAAATCAGGTAGGTAAAAATGATTGCTGAACCTCAGGAATACTGAAGAGGGAAGACTTTGGTAAATTAAGCAAATGAAAAGTTCCATGATTAAGAAGGACTCAGGTAGGTTCTCTTACTCATGGAGAATCTGGTGGAAGGCAGTTGAGTCTTCGGGTATTTACGGTAGGTCAGAATTAAGGATTTATCTTTTTTTCTTTTTTAAAGATTTTATTTATTTGACAGAGAGAGACACAGCGAGAGAGGGAACACAAGCAGGGGGAGTGGGAGAGGGAGAAGCAGGCTTCCCGCGGAGCAGGGAGCCCGACGCTGGGCTCGATCCCAGGACCCCGGGATCATGACCTGAGCCAAAGGCAGACGCTTAACGACTGAGCCACCCAGGCACCCTCTTTTTTCCATTTACACTAAAAGCTGGTTTATTTGACGAAATTATCAACCCAGACTGCCAATAAAGTGGCACTTAGGAACTATAATGATAATCAATGCCCATACTGATAATTTGGAGGCACCAAAAACCCTGCAGGGCTTTTCTGATTAGCAAAGAAAATTTTTGCTAGTTGACTTTACTCAAATAGACCTCCTCCACTCCAACAATGTGAGAATATGCAGCAACAGCTGGGCCACAACCCTGACAGTCTTGGAAAGGTAGATTTTCTGATTTTCATGGACTGGCAAGTTTATTTTTTTGGTAGTAGCTTTTGAGAATGTTACTTTCTTATACAGCTAGGTACCCTGAGTACTAAGAGCATGCCTAAGACGTGTTTATGGTTGTTCTTTCCTTCACAATACTTCTCATAATCCGTAATTTGTTTCTCAGCTGTCCCGTAAGAGGGCAGGGGACCTGTCTATTCTGTTCATTACCATACACCCAGCACTTAATTATGTTTGGCACATGTAAGTGCTCAATAAATGTCAGTTGAGTGAATAAATGAATGAATTTTGTATAGTCCAATTGACGTAGGGGGAAAAGAGGAAAAAAACCAACCCTTACAAAATGAAGAAGACAATGATGGAAAGGAAGAAAAATAAGCAACAATCAATTGTGGGGGGAAGACTTGATGTCAAAAAAATTGTCATCTTTTGACAACTGATGATATCTGTTTTGAGATTCAAAATACCTGAAAGATTTTAACTTAAAGTTAATATAAAAACAAAGTCTTTTCTGGAAGACTCATTTACAAATAAGTTAATGAAAACCCTAAAAAAAAAAAAAAAGATGTAATAGGAGCCTAGTGTTTTGTTGTTTCAAGATGGAGAACATTCTGCTAAGTACACCAGCTGTATGTCTACAGCCCCATAGAGGGAGCGTAGCACATTGAGGACTTTTTCTTGAATGGTGTCAACTTGCTCAGAAGGACAGTAATCATCCAGACTTGACCTGGAACCAAGAAGAGAAAGAGAAAGGAGAATACATGTAAATAAGATGAGATCACACTGTGCAGTGAAGAAAAATCTGCATTTGTTGATTTCAATATAAAATCGAAATGAAGGTATGTTGAATTTTGGAATAGTAATGGTTGAAAGCTACTAAATGTTTACTCTATGTCAGGTGCATTACATTCTTTAATCTTCTCAGCAACTCTATGAAATACATATATTTACGACCCCTTTAAAAGGAATCTGAAACAGAGAAAATTACCCTGCATGGGTCACCCAGCTGCTAAGTGCTGGTGATGGGATTCAAAATGACACAACATGTCTTCAAAGCCTCAGTGCTTAATCACTAGATTGCTGTTTCCCTGGAAGGGAGATACTGGAAATACTGGGGGTTATTATCTTAGTGATTGGGCATCTTTCTCATTCTTTTATTATGGGCACAGTAGGGCTAGAAATTATAAGAGTAGAGTTTTTCCAACTGATAAAAGGTGTCTACTTTTAAAAACGATCTGTTAACTATACAAGTATGTAGGATCATCCAAAATGAAATGTGGAGATGTGCTGGTTTTGGGATTAGTTTCCCAGGTGGTATTTTTTTTTTTTTAAGGCTTTTATTTATTTATTTGACAGAGAGAGAGACAGCGAGAGAGGGAACACAAGCAGGGGGAGTGGGAGAGGGAGAAGCAGGTTTCCCGCGGAGCAGGGAGCCCGATGCGGGGCTCGATCCCAGGACCCTGGGATCATGACCTGAGCCGAAGGCAGATGCTTAATGACTGAGCCACCCAGGCGCCCCTCCCAGGTGGTATTAAGGAGAAAAGAGCAAAGTGGGATGGGGCAGGAACCTGTATTTTGGGGAGTTTTTCCACAATCACCAACTACAACCTCAGTTACCAAGCAGTTCCAATGTCACTGACAATTACAGCTGGATTAAGATCTGAAATGATTTCATCACTGTCTCCTGGTTCTGGACTGGGGTGAGGAAAGCCATTTAGATGTGGGATTGGAAATCTTTATAGAAGGAAATGGATTTAGGGCGCCTGGGTGGCTCAGGTGGTTAAGCGACTGCCTTCGGCTCAGGTCATGATCCTGGAGTCCCTGGATCGAGTCCTGCATCGGGCTCCCTGCTCGGCAGGGAGTCTGCTTCTCCCTCTGACCCTCTCCCTCTCATGTGCTCTCTCTCATTCTCTCTCTCTCAAATAAATAAATAAAATCTTTAAAAAAAAAAAAAAGAAGGAAATGGATTTAGTTATCTAGCTTAGTCCTTGTCACAAGTATTTTAGACCTAAAGACATAATCTGTAAGACTTCTGATAAACTCAGTCCATTCTTTGGTGATCAGGTTATTTTTGAGACTTGATGTAAATAACACACAATAAATGAGACAGAGCAATTTAAAATAATTAAATACTGTCTAATATATACATATGGATAAAGACCTAGTTTGAGAAAATATCATATATAAGAGTTTAATTTATAAGCCTTAATAAATAAGGAGTACTTCTATGCTTTCAAAAAGATTTCTGGCTTCTTTAAAACACTGTTAGAGTAGTTCTTGAGGGAAGCTACCCCCAAGAGGGAGTTTTGGAAACCTGTAGGTACATTTTTGATTGTCACAATGACAAGGGGCTAAGGCAAGAGGGCAGGGCTGCCAGAATGCTTGCAATACGCAGGACAGACCTGCAATATGAATGTAAATATAAATACCTGTCCCATGTCCTATATACTTTCCCTGTTTTTAATTCTTGAGCCTAGAATTTCTCTTCTACATATGAACAAAGTATTTTTGAAAATGGATTAAATATGAACTAAATTTCCCAGGAATGCAGCTACTCTGTATATTGAGACAAGACTGGATTTTAGGTTCAGAACTTTACCAAGAGGTTGGTAGGACGAGAAAAATCCATGTCACTATGGCAGTGCTGTTCATGGTATTTGGCCAATACATCACATGAGTATCTGTTTGCACTTGTAACTTTACATTTAGTGACTCTGTAAAGATGCTAGTTCTGTGTGACTTCAAAAAAATTTTTTTTAAAAGACTTTATTATTTGAGAGAGAGAGAGAGAGAGCACGCACACACGCGCACAAGTGAGAGGGAAGGGCAGAGGGAGAGGGAGAAGCAGATTCCCTTCTGAGCAGGGAGCCCAACACAGGGCTTGATCCAAGGACCCCGAGATCACCACCCGAGCCGAAGGCAGATGCCTAACGACTGAGCCACCCAGGCACCCCTTGTGTGGCATTTTAATACATATTACTTTATCAGTTACTTTCATTTCTTTTATGTTATAATAATTTTTGTGTATGTATACATATATAAACATATATTTAAATTATGTGTACAGGTAGGTTATTGCTATTAACTAAATGTTTGTGTCCTTCCAAAATCCTTATGTTGAATCTAATTCCCAATGTGATCATATTTGGAGGTGATTAAGTCATGAAGGTGGACTCCTCATGAATGAGATTAATGCCACTATGAAAGAGACCCCAGAGAGCTCCTTCACGCCTTCCACCATGTGAGGTTATAGGGAGAAGATTGTGGTCTGTAAACCAGGAAGTAGGTCTTCACCACACTGAATCTGTGAGTGACTGCCTCTTGAATTACCCAGCCTCCAGGACTGCGAGGAGTGAACTTCTGGTGTTTATAAGCCACATGGTCTATGGTATTCTGTTATTGCAGCCTGAATGAACTAAGACAATTATATTATCTATATATTATGTATAATATTTCTATATACTTAAACTATGTATGTATGTAGGTTAGATTATCTATGAATTTTGTTTCAGGATGGTAAAAGGACATTAAAAATATTTGTCATAAAATATTAAATATGAAAGTATTAACCTCACAGTTCCATATAAAACCAGCCCAAAGATTAACACAGAAAAGTTTTATTAAATTGTTATAACTTTCAGTGGGAATGCAAGCTGGTGCAGCCACTCTGGAAAACAGTATGGAGGTTCCTCAAAAAGTTGAAAATAGAGCTACCATACGATCCAGCAATTGCACTACTGGGTATTTACCCCAAAGATACAAATGTAGGGATCTGAAGGGGTACGTACACCCCGATGTTTATAGCAGCAATGTCCACAATAGCCAAACTGTGGAAAGAGCCAAGATGTCCATTGACAGATGAATGGATAAAGAAGATGTGGTATATATAGACAATGGAATATTATGCAGCCATCAAAAAGAATGAAATCTTGCCATTTGCAACGACGTGGCTGGAACTGGAGGGTATTATGCTGAGCGAAATAAGTCAATCAGAGAAAGACATGTATCATATGACCTCACTGATATGAGGAATTCTTAATCTCAGGACACAAACTGAGGGTTGCTGGAGTGGTGGGGGGTGGGAGGGATGGGGTGGCTGGGTGATAGACATTGGGGAGGGTATGTGCTATGATAAGCGCTGTGAAGTGTACAAGACTGTTGAATCACAGATCTGTACCTCTGAAGCAAATAATACAACATATGTTAAAAAAAAAAAGAAGATGATGATGATAGCAGGAGGGGAAGAATGAAGGGGGTGGAAATCAGAGGGGGAGACGAACCATGAGACACTATGGACTCTGAAAAACAAACTGAGGGTTCTAGAGGGGAGGGGGGTGGGAGGATGGGTTAGCCTGGTGATGGGTATTAAAGAGGGCACGTTCTGCATGGAGCACTGGGTGTTATATGCAAACAATGAATCATGGAACACTACATCAAAAACTAATGATGTAATGTATGGTGATTAACATAATAAAAAAAATTGTTGTAACTTTCAGCACATTATTCTCAAATCTGAAACATGGCAGCAGCTAAATAGCCTTTTGGAGACACATAAATGGGAATTCTTGTGTTCATCTGAATAGTATCACCAACTTCAAAGATAAGACAATAAGAACTGCATGTTGTTTGCCAACCATTACTAAGAGGAAAGAGAAAATACAACATCTGAATTTTGAGCCGAGTAGGTGAAAAATTGATTAGAATTACTGTAATAGTAATCATTAGATTCATCTATTGAGACTGTATTAATTTCCTATGGCTGCTATAACAAATTACCACAAACTCAATGGCTTAAAGCAACACAAAGTTATTACAGCGTCCTACAATCAAGATGCTAGCAGGGCTGTCTTCTTCTCTAGGTTCTAGGTAAGAATCTGTTTCCCTGTCTTTCCAGCTTCTAGAGGCTGCCTGCATTCCTTTGCTTGTGGCCCTATCCTCCATCTTCAAAGCCAGCAGCCCAGCATCTTTCAATTTCTGATTCTGACCCTCTTGTGCTCCTTTTATAAGGACCACTGGGAGCACACTGGCCCACTGGATAATCCAGGCTAATCTCCTCATTTCAAGTTCGTTGAGTTAATTACACTTGCAAAGTCTCTTTTCCTATACAAGAAACATATACACAGGTTCTGGAGATTAGGATGTGAATATCTTTGGTGGGCCATTATTCAGGCTACCACACTTACCTTGCAATTGTCACAAGAGTAGGTTTTGGTAAATTTTTCAGTAAATAATATACAGACTGAATAAGATACTCAATTTCTTGTTCTGTGCTGATATGGTGAGGAAGTTCTGAGTAATCACAGGTTAGACCAGCCTGGTGAACCTGAAAATAAGAAAATTAAAAATTACACTGTTAAGTCTTTATCGTTTTTAGAAGATTCTTTAACCATTAATGTCCTTGCTGACAAATCTTGTAATATTGTTGTGGACTGGGATTGTTTTCTTCCTTAGTAATTTCTGTGCTACAGAAGTTCTCTATTCTTTAAAGTTTTGGAAGAACTGGCCTGTACAGCTGTTTGGGCCTGATGTCTTTTATAGGAATAATTCTTTTAACTACTTTTTAATTTTGTAATTATGAATTCAGTTTCTGTCTTTGAGTCTATTTTGATAATTCCTATTTTCTAGCAAATTATCCATTTCACCTAGATTCTAAAAGCGGATATAAAACTATACATATTCTCATCTTACCTCTTCTTTCAGCATATATATATATTTTTAGACACATGCATCTAATCTAGTACTATGTTCAAAGTTTCAGGAGGATATAAGGGAAAGTCTTTCTCCTGTTACCAGTTTCTTATGTATCCTTTATATGTACAATCACATACTACTAACATCTATAGATGTGTTTTAAATGTAAATGACTGGTGTTCCAGTCTTAGCACTCAACTATGCCTGAGAGTTAGAAGTGGCTCAAGGGCTAACATTTTACATCCTCTGCTTTGAAATTTTGAAAAATGGAACTCAGTATGTCACTGTTTTGCCTAGTGTATACGAGTGCAAAGCATGGGAAAAAACCCTCATTAATCTATTTTATTGAAGGCTCTGGATACATATCAAAATCTTAACTAGGAACAATCAATGTAGGAAAATGACAGAATGTGCATGTTCTTTTCTTTTTTTAAAGATTTTATTTATTTATTTGACAGAGAGAGAGAGAGAACAAGCAGGCAGAGAGGCAGGCAGAGGGAGAGGGAGAAGCAGGCTCCCCGCTGAGCAGGGAGCCCGATGCGGGACTCGATCCCAGGACCCTGGGGTCATGACCTGAGCCAAAGGCCGGCTGAGCTACCCAGGCGCCCCTGTGCATGTTCTTTTCTATTGAAAGGATCAAAACACTTAGTGGTCTAATCCTGCAGCTATAGGCACATCATATTTGGTTCCATAATCTGCAATCAAGCCCATTCCATCCCTTCCTTCGTTCAGCAATATCCAAAACCCCATCTACCACTGGAAAATCCTGATGCAATGTAACATTTACAGCAGACCTGCATGAAGACACATTCAACAGTGTCATGCAAGCTGAAGCATTTTAAAATCCTAAGTATCTTCCAACTCTATCATTCTTAAAAATTGCCATTAAAAAAAAAAGTGGGTTTTGGACTAGCTCCAATTTAACCAAAATATTCTTTCGTATTTTTTTATTCTTATAAAGTTGGCATTAAATCAGTACATAAACTTCATTTCAAATAAGGAGGTCTGATTGTATTCCACAACTAAAGAAAACACTAGATCAAAAACACAATTTATTGAAGTCAAAGAAGCACCAGGAGTAAAAGAAGACTTGTGATACAGAAGAAAAGAAGTCAGTGATACAGCTAATACAGTTGAGATGCACTTGCCAGAGCATCTCAGCTTCTTTTGTCTTTCTCTTGGTTTTTACAATCAGGAAAGTCTTCAGAGAGAGGAAAGAAAGGAGGAGGAAGGGACTATGAAAACGAATTAATAAATAAGGGACAGGGCGCCTGGGTGGCTCAGTTGGTTAAGCGACTGCCTTCAGCTCAGGTCATGATCCCAGGGTCCTGGGATTGAGTCCCGCATCGGGCTCCCTGCTCTGCAGGGAGCCTGCTTCTCCCTCTCCCACTCCCCCTGCTTGTGTTCCCTCTCTCGCTGTGTCTCTCTCTGTCAAATAAATAAATAAAAATCTTAAAAAAAAAAAAAATAAATAAATAAGGGACAACTTGAAAAACTATACTTTCTTTTCTCTGGCAAGGAGAGATCTGACCATAAACAAAATAAAAACATACACAGCACTTTTGCTTCATACATAAAACTGGGAAAAACTTATTTTTTCTGGAAAACTTTTCTAGTATTCTGACTTCTAAAAAGTTATGTATTTTTTCAGGTCTTCTCATTTAAAAAAAATAATTCATTTACACTTTCCTGGAACACAAAAGAAAACCACTTTAACAAAAAGTACTTTTTCTACTCAGAAAAATGCCTTTCTATTTACTTTAATATAAAGTATTTACCATTTCATAGTCTGGTACTTCCATCCGTTTTTTCAAACTCTGTACAAGTGGAATTAGTGATTCCATTCTGGAAAAAAGTCACCCTTCAATTAAACATCACACCACCTCAACTACAATTATAGAAGCAAATGATCTATTACACTTAAAATTTACCTTTAACAATATGTTTCACATGATGTTTGAGAAATGAAAGATAAAGATATTCAAATATCATCTTAAAATATTAAGAAATAGATGTTCCCTGTTTTTTCTTACCTACAAGATTACAGATTGTGTTAAAGTTTGAAAATTAGCACTCAAGAAACTGAGATTTTCCTCTTCTTTAAAAATGGAAGCTCTACTGTGACTTTAAAAATTATTTTCATCAGCGAGAAAACTAAGTGCCTTTAGCACACAGTGATGAAAAAAGATAGTTTCCCAAAAGTTAAAAAAATTTCAGAACATATTTGACACACACAATTACAATTGGAAAAGTTCTATACCATTTGGTATACTAACTATAGTGCCTTTAAGTGATTTAATTTAGGTGGAACTCTTTGGAAGCCATGATTAATTAATTAATGGTTCTAGTATTTTGCCTCCCCCACCAATATCTACTCATCTGGTGGGAGGGGAAAAAAGAAAGAAAAAGGGAGGCATGGAGGCCTATCTATCCACTCATCCTGTTACTTCTTTCTTTTTATTAAAAACACTTTCTGGGCTTCTGGACCCTAATCACCTACCTCCTCTACTTCTTAATAGTGAAGACTCCTTCATGCTGAGGATCTGGCCCTTCAGGGGCATGGTAAGTTTGGGGAGACTTTTCTTGCTTGTCACACCCACTTTTCCTTTGTGCTATTCTTTTTTCCCCCAATTCCAGCCACACTCTGGACTCTCTTCTGTTGTAGCCTCATTGTTTCTTCAAGTCTGTGAGAGAACCCCCTGCAGGTGATGAAGAGTTAACCAGGCATGCTCACAGGCACAGTGAGTTTCAGTGAAAGGTAGCCCCATCTATGGGCCAGATCGGGACCCCAAAGTTTTCATCTAAGTTTTAAGCTAGGCTTGAGACATCATAGAAGCACAAAATAATAGGTACTTTTCAATATTTCTAGAAAGAATCATATCCCATGAGTTATTTCTACATCTCCCTTTTCCATCATAATTTCAAAAAGGAGGGAATCGTTTTTCGAATTAGCACTCTATGCTGAAGAGGAAAAGCATGAACTGATGTTAAAGTGCCTGGTCAATATTTACTGATGTGATAAATATAATACCATGGTTTTCCTTAGTGATAATAAAGTTTTATATTTATATTTCAGGGATGTTTTTCAATATTTTATTTTTAAACAAAAATTACACTGAATATTTTGAATAGGTAATATACACACATAGCAAAAGATGTTTCTCTCTTACAACTTCATCTTTTAGCCATAGAATTCCTCTCCCCAGAGGCAATCTCAATTCCAGTTTCTTCTGTATTCTTCTAGATATCTGATGAATTGTCTTAAATAACTATGACATAACAAGTCTTAGTGGCTCAAAGTACTACTATTCTAACTCTCTAATTTATGTTGCTATCTTATGACTGATTTCTTATATTTACACTGTGGAGAATAATCTCAGTTTGTGGAAGACTAATTTGAAAATAAGCTACTTCTGGTTTCCTATGCTCATGTGGACAAAAAAGTTTGTGTCTGATGGTTCTATTTTAGTTTTCTGGCCTTTTGAGTTTATATGATTTAAAGAATTATTTCAGAGACTTAACATCACTAATCATCAGGGAAATGTAAACCAAAACCACAGTGAGAAATGACCTCACACCAGTCACAATGGCTAGAATCAAAGAACAAGGACTAAGAAGTGTTGATGAGGATGTGGAGAAAAGGGAGCTTTGGTGTACTGCTGGTAAAAATGTAAACTGGTGCAGCCACTGGGAAAACAGTATGGAAGTTCCACAAAAATTAAAAATAGAAATACCATATGATCCAGTAATTTCACTGCTGGGTATCTGCCCAAAGAAAACAAAAACACCAATTTGAAAAGATATATGCATGCCTATCTTTACTATAGCATTATTTACAAAAGTCAAGATATGGAAGCAACCCAAGTGTCCAATGACAGATGAATGGATAAAGAAGGTGTGGTGTGTATATACAATGGAATATTACCCAGTCATAAAAAATAATGCAATCTTGGCATTCATGACAACATGGATGGACCTAGAGATTATTATGCTAAACAAAGTAAGTCAGATAACTACCACATGATTTCACTTGTGTATGGAGTCTAAAAATCAGAACAGATGACAAAAAAAACAGAAACAGGCTCATAAATACAAAGAACTGACGGCTGCAAGAGCGGGTGGGGAGATAGGTGAAAAAAGTAAAGGGGATTAAGAGGTCCAAACTTCCAGTCATAAATAAGTTGCGGGAATAAAAACTAAAGCATAGGGAATGTAGTCAATGATATCATAAAAACATTGTATAGTGACAGATGGTAACTACATTTACTGTGGTGAGCACTGTGTAATGTACAGAATATCAATTCATTATGTTGTACACCTGAGACTAATAGAATATAGTATGTCAACTACACTGCACTAGAAAAAAAATAGAATTAGTTTAGGGAAAAGTAACTATACTATTTATGTCAACGTTCTTTCAAACTTGCTTTAATACTAAAGGCACTCTTCACCCCATCCTGTAAAATGACAGATGATCACGCCAAAAGAACTTTTCTCTCCATGTTTTCAAGGTAATGTTAATGCTGAGACAATCGGCCCAATAGAGGACCTGATGAAGAATCCAGCTTTCAAATCCTGCTCCCTCATGCCATGGGCAGCTTGAGCTTCTACTCATAGTTGGGCTATCCTTAAAAGGAGGCAAGTTTTCACATCATAATTTACTTGTCTAGTCATTTACTTTTTTACTGATAGGTTAATTTTTTTTTCTTATTCTACTTAGAATGGGGGCTGTCTTACCAATCTTTAATCTTCCCTAAGACCAGCACCATATCTTATATATCACAGAGGCAGTCACTGCACAACGATTAAGCACATACCCACTTACTATGTGATTTTGAGCAACTTAAACCTCTGTGCCTTAGTTTCCTCATGTATAAAATGAACATAATAACAATGAAGCCATCAGATTGTTGTAGGGAATAAATGAGATAAATGCAAAAGTAAAATCTTAGAATTGGGCACATATAAAACACTCAGTAAAGGCTAACCATTGTTAGTAAATTTGTGTTGGCACTTAACACTGATTATTCAAAAGTAATTTATCTAGCAAATTTAACAATATATCTAGCACTAAAATAGAGTTGGGGAAAAAATGTTTCAAGGTCTTACCCAGGGTTGGAAGCCCATTTCTGTACAGTTTCTTCATCATCACCATCACATAAATCAGCAAAAGCAGCTTCTAAATCTTCTAACTGATGAATTCGAGTATCAACACAATCTACCAAGTCTTCCTTTAAACACATTGAAAAGCCAAGATTATAATTATTCTTTGAAAAAATAAGTGAAATCCCATTGCAATGAAAATAGCAGTTCAATTAATTAAAACCATGACTTCTTAAGTACTAACCATGGGCTTCCCCAATAAACACACAGATTTTGGTTAGATGTTTGAGAGCACTCTAATGAGCTATGAGATATTAGATATGTGATAAATAGACAAAACCCAAAAGAAACAAATGAAGGATACCTCTGTCAGGTTGGTACCAGGTTTTTTAAACTGGTACAGCTCTTGTAAGATTTTGTACTCTTCCTGGAAAACAAAACAAAAATCCATATACTAGGAAAAAAAACCAAGTTTTTTCTCAATGATATGCTTTAAGTAAAAAATGGCTATGATATAAGGAGAATATCTTAGATAATCCTTTAAAGATTAGTCTGTGAAAATCAGAGAAAATGTATAACTCAGATGTTATTGTAAACATTGTCATTGCTTTAGGGAACTCTATCTGACAAGAATGTATGAAAATTAGCTATGGAAAAAGACTTGATATGAAAGATTTCTAATAATATTCTACATTCTAAATGGATACATCCAAGGATCTAAACAGATTTTAGCTATGTATAGGAAATATACATGTCTTTAATAGCAACAACAAAAACTCTCCAAGTTCACTTTGCAGCCCTTTCCCTAGCCACTGAAGAGAACTCAGAAGTTCAAAGGCAATACTGGGAGCAGATACAATGAAGAATGATGCCTTCTAAGCACAGACGTTGCAGGAGAATGTCTCCCCTTTAGCATGCTAAATAGCCCCATTAGAGGTGGTATATCTGGTCCCAATAATCCCTTTTAGGAGTATGGGAAGAGTTTATATGCAAGAGCTGAAGTTCATTAAGCACAATGTTGTGCCACTACCCTCATCATAATAATCCTATGCATTGCGTGCGATTATTTTGATGTTATACTTGAAGAAACTGTGGGTCAGAAAGGTTACGTAACTTTCCCAAGATCATACAGCTAATAAGCATTAGAAGTAACAAACAGAACTTAACTTGCTCTGGACTTCTGCACATGCTCTTTAAAAAAAAGGATACAAAAATCTCCACTTCCCAGGTTTCCTAATAGCACTGGAAAAGGAGTAACTGCCATTAAGTTCCTTGTATAACTTTGTAGTAATTTTCATTAAAAATATTTGATGAGTATATTTGTAAAATAAATTCCTAAAGTCAGTTTCTTCAGCTTTCAGATATGCCTATTCAAGTTTTCTAAACAGTTCTAAGGTCATTTCATGATTCTAAGAACTTATGGTTATAACCACTGGCTCCATGTACAAGAGCAGGAAGAAATAGCAATTTTTCTCCCTTATTTGCAACTTGGGAGAGTACTCTAGGTCCCTCATTCTTGTTTCAGATTACACTAAATCCTCAAATCTTACCTATTTTTTAATCAATACCTATTTAGAGGTCTTTGATAAATCACAATGGCTTCCGATACATACGTGAATTAGGATCATGAAGTGCAACATCATTCTAATCAAACACTGAATTTAGGTAGAAAAAAGTTAATTTGAATCCCAAAAAGGACAGACTTGAACAGCCTCCCAAATCTTAAAGTAAGCAGTTACTGTGTCATAAAATGCACCCAGGAATGCACACTTGGAGCATGAATTTATTGGTTTCTTAAATGTCCCATCTCAGATCTGTGCAGGCTAATACCGTCTGGCTTTCTGCATTTAAGATCTGATGAGGTACCCTAAGGATCACAGGCCTGAATCATTAGCTACAAATAGTACATGTGTAATCAGGCACCTCATGGTCCAGTGGAAAATTTGTCACACAGAACTTTATATATGTAGAATATCTCTGGAAAGATACATCAAGAAACTGGCCATGATGTTTATTTCTGAGGTAACAAACTGAGGGAATGGGAATGGGGTGAGAAAGTGACATTCTTTAATGCATACGCTTTCTTGTACCATGGGATTTTAGTTTTTTCAACTACCCATGTACATATTACCCCAATTAATAAATACGAAATAATATATACTATCTAGAGCAAGGATCAGCAACCCACAACCCACAACTTGTTTTTGTATGGCCCTTGAGTTAAGAAAGGCACGTACATAATTCAATTTAAAAAATAGGTGCATATGATTTGAAAAGGTTTAACAACAACAAGGAACAATGTGTGATAGAAATCATTTGGGACCCCCAATAAAGTAATTATATCTGGCTGTTTGCAGAAAGTTTGCTGATCCCTGATCTAGAGAAATGTCATACAATTCTCAAGATCTACATTTCAAAAATACCACATTTACCTGAGTGAACATTTCTTTGAAGGGATTCTTGACTGAAAAGAAATCCAAGTCAATATCTAAAATAAATGCATCCCCTTTCTTCAAAATTTCCAGAATCTCCCCAGTGTTGACTGTAGTCTGACATTCTTGGCTTTCATAAGAACATGAACATGGTTGCTCTAGGCAAGTTTGGTCCCTCCTCTGTGTCACTGTGTCCTTTTCCAGTCCTTCTGAATAAGAGTCACACTTAGTAGAGGCAGTGTTTTCTGCATCTTCCAGTGCTAGCTTTGGCTTCTTAGCAGAAGACACTGCATCATTTTCTTCTTGATTGTTACAGGGTTTATAAGGTTTTACCATAATTACATCCAATTGTAAAGGTTTTTGGTTCTCTAGCTGGTCTTCAGTTACATAAAGACCATCACTTAGAAAGTAATGATCTGTACTTGTAACCCTGGATTAGAGGAAAAAAACGATTTTAAAGACAAATGGACAAATTAGCTGACATTTCATATAGCATTTCTGAAGCACTGCAGAAATGTAACAAAGAACATATTTAACAAAAACTAAGAGTTCTCTCTACTTTCGTTAATTCCTGTTTTTCTACAGAAATAGTTTTCCCCCTAGTTTTAGCTGTGCACATAACTGCCCGAAGGAGACTGGACTTCATAGCTGATCTTGTGGCGAGGTGTGGCTATTTGACTAAGTCCTGGACTAAGGCTGTGAGTGGAAGAGAAGCATATATAACCTTGCTCCCCTCCACCTGCTGACTGGTGCATGAACATGCAATTGGCAAGCCCACCCTGGGCTATGAGGACAAAGGCAATGCTCTGGAGATGAAGCAAAAAGATAAAAGGAAATGGGGTTTCCAAACCTGTAAACTGCCACATAGGCCCTGGACTGTGTGTGGTAAACTCTAATAAAAGAAAGAAAGAAATGATCCTCTTTCAGCTAGTGTTCTGAATCACTCTCATACCAGCAGCAACTTCATCCAAATAATCACTTAAGAGAAAAATTACATCTGGAAATAGTTTCTCTTAACAAAAGCTCCCTCTGATGTGTTTCAAAGCTTTGCCAAACTCTGTATAACCGTAATATTTTAATATGGAAAACAACTTCAAAATATCTTATACACATGCAGAATGCATTTTACAAGTTACAGATTTCTGATTTTAGACATATCAGTATGTTCTTAGCTTTTCAACTATATTATGCCTTAGCAAGTACTTGGAATAGCAAAACTAAATGCTTCTTCCAGAGTCGGGCTCTATCCAACTAAAATAATGGTTAATATTTATTTCCTACTCACCTTCCTCCAGCTATACAGCCTTAAATTTAAAAAGCTATTAATTTTCCAAAATAAGACTAATGACATAATACAGCTAATATCCAGGCTTATTGTAAATTGTGCCATCCAAAGAATGACAAAGGCTGTATCCCCCAACCTAAATTCGTATTCTTCTTTAATAAAGAACTCTTCACTTTGTTCTTATCTGTATAAACACATGCATCTCAGACTGCATACCTGAGTATGTGTCTCTTCTGCAAACTTTTACTTGCAGGATTAAGTAAAATCACCAGATAATCAAATTTTTCCTAATATTGTTATTATACATTGAGTTTCAAATGTCTGTTTCAGATTACTCAAAATTATCTGATTTTGCAGAAGCCTGTTAGAGGTCAACTTAGGACTACTCACTGAAGCACTAAATAAAAGCACTATCATTCTCTCACATACACCAGTATTATATATAATATTTATTCTATGTGGAGTCCTATTTATTTATTTAGTATAACATCCTCAATAAATATAATTTTCATGGATACACAACAAAGTTATTTGTGCAATTGATAAGAACACACAACAAAAACTAACAGTATCATTAAGGATATATCAGAAATAAAAAGTATCACTTTCAATGAGAAAGACTGTATTTCATTTTCAATGTATTACCATTTTATTCCATTCTCCTTCACCTTTGAGAAAGTTATGGTTTCACTGCTTAAAACATTCACCCCATCACAAAAGAATGTAGAAAGTCAAGAACACGATGATATTTCTAAAGATAATTACAGTATTGCAATATCCATAAAACATTGGTTAAAGAGCTTATATAACAAAACCAGCTGCACATGTAACTCAAGTCAAAGAATGCTGTAACTTTAATTATCTAAAGCTAATCATATTACTAAAACTAACACCCCAAATCTACTTTTTAGTCATTGGATTTACCAAAAAAAAATCTGAAATGAGGGAATTTTGCTTTTTCACTGCTAATTGTTCAATTCAGCAGACAATAATTAGATTGTAAGGAAACAGTAAAATGCATCATTAGATAAATAGATAAGGTACTTCATTTAATGGAATTAGTCATCAATGGAACCAGAATTCCAGAAGATGAAGATCCTATTATTCAAAACCAATGTGACCAGCAACAAAATATAAATGGTATGTGAAGAAGGTCAAGGCACTTGAAAACTTGTTCCTGCTGTTATGAGAACTCTTTAAAAGAGCTGAGGCTTAATCAGAGCCCATTTGCATGTAGACAACTTATGAGTTATTATGGGGATTCAAAATAAGATAAAAGAAGCATTCATTCCCTCTTATAAATATGAGGAAATTACCTGATTGTTGTGGTAGAAGTGTCTCTGCCTACTAAAAAGTGATGTTGGCCCTCTCTGATTTGCTGAGCCCATGTGGGATGAAGCCACAGCACATGAGAAAAATGGCCAGCATAAACTGCAGGCATAATCCAATTCTCAATACTTAATTCTCTGAAAAAGAAATAGAAAGCATGGAAACTACTAGTGAGTGGCTTTTCCCCAATGTAATTTCACCTAGAACAAGAGTTTAACAATTTTCCTGATGGCATTAAGGCATCATTTCCCCTTTTCATTGTATTGACATTTGCACTGACATTTGCACTGATGGTGCAAAACAATGGTGGGTTGGTATCCTAAGACTAATCAAGGCGATGGCACCAACTCTACTAGTAGTCACTGTATTCTTCACTACCAAGCACCACTGCCCCCTCCCAAAGCCAGTTTCATGTAAAAAGGTCCTTCATAATTTTATTAAACCTTGATCCTGAGTATACATTTTAAATATTCTGGGTGGCAAAATGAGAAATGCACAAAAAGTACTCCTGCTACTACATACTTTGAAGTACAACGGTTGTCTCAAGGAAAAACACTTGTGATTCAATTGAAAGCTGAACACCATTTTTCTTGAAAGAAAGAGTGATCAACATACAATTGTTATTCAGACTTAAATCTGAATTGTTGGATTCTACATTCGAATTAAGCTTTAAAAAACCACTACTTGTTAGTTTTGGTATGCTACTGAATATTCATAATTATCTGAAAAGGCTATGAAAATACTTTCTAAATTTTCTTCATTTACTTCCACCAAAACAACATATGGCAACAGACTGAATGTGGAAGCAGATATAAGAATCTAGCTGTCTCCTATAAAGACAAGTATCAAAGAGATGTGCAAAAACTTAAACATTGTTACTCTTACTATATTTTTTGCTTTGGAAAATATATTTTTCATAAAAATATATTTATGCTAACATATTGAAGTCTATTTTGAAATGAATTAATATTTTAAACATTTCTCAGTTTTAATTTCAAATATGGTAAATGTGAATAGATATAACTCACGCTTAGAAAAATGCTCAGTAATTTTTAAGGGTGTACAGGAATTCTCAGACTAAAAAGTTTAAGAATTATTATTCTATGACTATACAATCTGCATACTTGTTTCATAATTCTTTTCAATTTCTAAAATATAAAACCTCTAAATATAAAAGAGAGTAACAACAATGGTAGAGCTACCACATTTCTTTAGAAATTAGTTCTCTAAAATGGGGTTCTGGAAAAGGTCAACTGAAAGAAATGTAGTAGGCTAAAGTTAATTCATGCTAGCATCTATCTTTTAATTTTATATTATAAAGAAAAATTACTGCTATGTGTGTAATTTTTTACATTGTGTGACTAGGCTACATCCTAACAAATGCATATATAATGAGACAGTGGCAGAATTTCAGAGAACTTTATTACAGAAGAGAGTCTAGTAAGTCTTTATTTAGAAATATATTATATATGACCCTTCTAGGGGAAAGTAGTACAAATTTAGAGGTTGGAAGGTGTCAATACTGGAAGGAAGGATATACAAATTAAAGATGTGTTGCCTATACAACCATTGAACAACGTGTTTAAAACACATTTTCTTGCGCCTTAGTATCCAGACTTTTAAAGGGGAGAGGATGGGAGAACTGGCTTAGGTAACTTCTAAAGTCTCTTCTACCTCTAAAATTCTATATTCTAAAGCTGAGGTTGGCAAACATTGGCTAAGCCACTTGTTTTTGTAAATAAAGTTTTATTGGAACATAGCCACAGCCATTTGTTACACAATGTCCATGGTTGCTTTCCTACTATAAGGGCAGAGATAAGTAGTTGCAACAGAGACCATACAGTGAGCAAACTTAAGATACTTACTATCTGGCTCTTGAAGAAAAAGTCTGTCAACACTTGCTCTAAATAAAATAAAAAAGGCAAACAAAACAAAAACAAAACTCATGCGCTCAGCAAAGTCTATTTCCCTTGTTTATCATGTACTGCAAATTGTATTTCAAACACATAAAAGATCATTAAGAGGGATGCCTGGCTGGCTCAGTTGGTGGAGCATGTGGCTCTTGATCTCAGGGTCTTGAGTTTGAGCCCCACATCGGGGGCAGAGTCTACTTTAAAAAAAAAAAAAATCATTAACAAAAACCACGTATTACCCGAAAAGTGTTTCCTTGTCAAACACTGTGTCAGCTGGCATATTCACAGGAATGAGGAGGTCTGGATGTGAATCAAAATGCACAAAACTTATGTTACTGGCAGGAAGATGCTTTGAGCCAATGGCCCGGTATATATAAGGCAGGACCTGTAGAAAACACAGGCACACATTCGGAATTAGCACTGCAGTCATGAGCATATGCTCAGCTGCAGCCTGAAAAACAATGCTTAACATAACTACACATAATTTGAAGCACGCCGAGTTGCTAAAAAGTAGGAAAATATAAAATTTGTTCACTGTAGATGGGTTTAGATAGCGTTCCCAAGCTTTACTTTTTCCTCAGAAGTTCCAGCTTGCACCTCCAAAGGCTTTAATGGGCGTCTCTTGCTCCGATCTTGCCCCATCACAAACTCAAAAGATAATGTGGGTAAACAGACAAGGATTGGCCCTCAGGAAAACACTGGTAGTTAATACACATTCTGTCATAGGATGTGTTCAAGCTACCTTGGGTCTTCTGGCCTTTTCCACACCTTAGGATGATGGAGCCAGGCTAGGCGGTCTCCAAGGTTCCTGTCCTGTTAGAGTCCCTGTAGTTCTAGGTTTAATACTGAATTTGAAAACCTTGTGCTTCTTTCTCAGGCCCATACACACTATCTCTGGGTCCTGGGAAACTCAACTTCCTTTCTCCATCCATGAATCCGGAATCACCCTCTCCCCCTTTCATAACCAGATATATGCCTATTAATTAAAAAAAAGAAAAAAAAAGTCTCGAATCCACGGGCCTCCCTTCCAGAAGACTAGATTAAGGCACCGTTTTAGCTACTCCAAAGTAGCGCTGCCATAAAAATAGGAAATATCGCCCGTGTTTATCAAAGCAGGGCTCGCTGTAAAAAGATTTCTGTACACGCCAAGCACCCAATACCAACAGCCCTGAGTGCTACGACGACACTCCCTATACCACAGACCGCAGCCCACATTCTTTACAAAAAGCTTCCCGCCTACACACAGCCGCGCCGTGACGGAGACGCCGGGGGAAGCTGGAAGCCTGCGTCATCCTGCAGGTTAGGGACACGGGGCTCTGCAGTGAGAAAGCTCAGGTTCGAATCCCGACGCCGCCAGTTGTTGGTGTGGGATTCTGGGCGAACCGAGAAAGGTTAAATGAGTTGCCCGACGCATAGTAAGCGATTCAATAAACGTCAGCGCCTAGTCTCCCAAGTTAGTCGTCTCGGTGCTTTTCCCCACAGCAATGGAACTCGCGCGGATAACAAATTCTGCTTATCTCTGGCCTTCAATGCGGAGGCTCCGCAACCTCCTTGGCCCTCGCGCGATATTGCCCCAGGATCAAGCAGCCGCCGGCTCACCTCCTGGTGATCCTCCACGACCCACACTGGGAGCTTGGGGTAGCGCCGGAGGCGACCGCGCTCTCCCACAGAGTCGCCCATGCTTTTCCCGCGCGGCAGCATCCCAGCGAGCCGCAGTCGCGAGGCTAGGACCCCGCAACGCCGGAGCTGCAGCCCCACAGCCCCTCCCGGGTGGAAACGCGCGCTCACCCGGTTGCGGTTCCTCATTGGAAGATGTAGAGGGCAGGGGGCGGGCGCCGGGGCGTTCTACGAAGGCTATTGGCTTGTGTGTCCATCGCTCTCATTGACGCGCCAATCACCGAGCACAAGGCGCTGTGGCCAGTCCAAGAGCTTTCCCTGTCGCGGTCCAGCTTTCTCAGGTTTGCTTTTTAATTTTCTCGGTTTCCTGTTCCGGAGGCGCGGGTGGCGCTATGGTCTTGGCGGCTGCAGAATAAGCCTGGCTTTGCTTTGACGGCAACCTCGCGGCCCGAGAACCTTTTGTAGGTAAAAAGGGCAACTTGCGGGTGTTGGAAGAGGGAGCCTTTCCGAGTGTCCGGTTTAAACGGGTCTGGAGTCCGGGGCTGGGGCGAGAGGCGCTTTCGAGTTAAGGTCGGGCAGTCCCTCTTCAGATCTGCAGCTAAGGGTAAAAAAGCGACCCTAGGCCCGAATCCCGCAAACAAACAGAAGTGAAAAATGCGGCCTTTCATTCATTTATGGAGCGCATGCGGTGGTCCAGGCCTGGGGCCGCCCGGGTCTCGGAGCGGAGGGAGCCCGTGAGCCCGTGGGGCTCACAGTCTGGCGGGAGATGCAAACGGGGAAAGACGCAATTACAAATCCGCTGGACGAAGGTGACTGGCTTGGGGCTGCAAGTGAGGGAAAGGGTGTTGTTCTTAATAACGTGGGCACACTTTGCAACTCTTTCAACATAGACTGATGCCCCTGGACGTTTTAACTATGCGAGACAGCTCTCTCGGTTTCCCTGCTTCCGAACAGCAACCTAGGAGTAGACAGACGCAGAAAATAAGTACTTTTCCAGTTGCAGTGAACTCCTTGACTTTTGATTTTGAATTAAAGTTTGCATCCATAACGCAGTCTGACTATGCCTTCGATATGTCAGTTTCATAATCAGTGTTTCCAGATACTCTCTCTGTAGAAACATCCATGAGGATCTAATCCCGAAAGTTCAACTATTACACGCTGTACAAGTGTTAGTGATCCTGTTTCCCACTTCTAGGTTCAGCACACTCCTTTGTGTTCCCCTAGACCCTGTGCATACCTCTTTTCTCTTGTTTATTGCCTTACTTATTTATTTTTTTAAAAAGGTATTTTTTTTTTAAAGTGAATTCAGAGCTTGAGTCTTGCTGGCTATGTGTCTTACTCAACTTTGAGTCCACAGGGCCTGCGACTTGTATAGGCTCATTGAATATCGCATGAATCTGTGAAAAGGCCTACTCTTTGTCTGGTTTTGATAATGCAAATATGTCATGGATATATGTGAAAGGGAAGTGTACAGTAGCAACATAGAAACATATGCCATTGATGAGATAGTAAACATTTATTGACCACCTACTATGTGCAGGATGTTCTGCCAGGGGCTGTGAAGGATACAGAAATGACTATGAATCAACCCATGTCCTCAAGGAGCTAATAATCTAGTGGAGGAGTTAGAAATGTGCACACATTCCTATAATATGAGACAGTCTCTGGTAAGTGCTGTAAAAGAAGTAAGTAAGTCTAGAGGGAATGGGATTACTTTCTAAAGGGAACTAGGAAAGGCTTCACAGAAGAGGTGGCATTTGACATAGGTAGATGAAAGTCAGTGGGCAGATTCATAGAGCAGGGGATTTTAGAAGAGCGGGAGCAAAGAGCAAGCTGGGTGATAGTACCTGGTATGTTAGGCAACTGGGAAAATCTGGGGTTATAGGTACTTCATAGGGAAGGTGATGGAGGATAAGCCTAGAAGAAGTTGGGTCCAGGTTGTAGAAGGCCTTAATTGCCAAGCATGGAGTTTGAATTAGATTCTGTTGGCTATGAGCCATGAGTAGCCCGTGGTGACAAGATCAACTGTGTAGGTCATAGGTTTATCATGAAGGCTTAGACTGAATGATAATCATAAATCAGATATTATTTGATGCCTGCTAGTTATTAAGCACAGTGATTGATACAGCTAGATAATCTGACATTATTTTCTTGAACCTTTGTAAAAATCTACCTTAAGCCTATTGGTAAAACTTTTAGTTAGATAGACTTTAGGAAGATGCTTCTACATTAAAGTTTTTTGTATTTAATATTTATTTGAGTTTTTAAAATATTTGCTGAAGCTTAAATATTTGGAAAGTCATTCACGTTCACAGCATTCTTCAATGGAAAGCTGAGGATGAAATCAAGGATACCTGTTGTGTTTACAAATTATATTTGAATTTGATTGCTAGTCTCATTGTGATAAGGACATCTTCAAAGTTAGTTGTAAACTTTAATTTGGGGAACATACTCTTAATTTTGTCAGTATGCTCAATGCATTGGAGAATGCAAAATCAGTGTTAAGATGATTGCAGACATTAGCAGTTTGGGAAACATTTTTATGCCTATTTTATTCTTTCTGTCCTCTAGCGCTTATATTTTCTGTGGAAGATGTGACATATCCAGACAGTACGTCATGATGCAAGGCAATACGTGGTGAGTGGTGTGACAGTAATGGTGGGAGTTTTGGGAGAGCAGAGAGAAGAGCAAACACTGGCACTGGGCCCTGGAGAGTGGGAAGGATTTTGATACGTGCGGAGAGGAGGAAGTATGTTCACGTGGGGCAGGTACATGGCTAGGAGCACAGTCCAGAGCCCTGTCCTGGTGGAGCTTATATTTCTGAGGTGCAGCCAAACGTGAAAGTTGGAAGGAGGTAATTAGTTGGTGAATTGTGATTACTGTAGGACCTGCCAAGAAGCAGCATGGAGTGTGAGAGAGGGAACCTGACAAAGGCCTGGTGGGCGGTAATAGTGATTGTAGAAAGGCCAGCAAGGGTGTTATTATCGTAGCCAGGGAAGAAATGATGGTGTGAAGTAGATGAACTCAGGAAATATTTATATGAAGCAGAAGTGATGGGAATTTAAAGTAAATTTTTGGCTAAAAGGGATAAGGGAGGAAAAGTTACCAGATAATTCCCTGGTGTATGATTTGAGGACCAATAAATGCTATTATCTATCGAGATAGGAAACGCGAAAAGAGGAGCCAGTGGTATTGTCTTGGAGGGGAGGGTTATTAATTCCTTTTAGGACCTGTTATGTTGCATTTGTGGAATCTCTGCTGAGTGTGGAGGAAGGTGAAGACAGGAAGATGCTGGTGCAGATGTAGAGAATGTGGGGTGTGGGTAGGATGACATGGCAAGGATCAGATTTTTGGGGAGCCTGAGCACGGACAACAGCAAATGATTAAACAGTGGGATGTTGAGTTCATTCTGGAGGAGGAGCAGCTTTAGGGAGCGACAGAAGCCAGGGACTGACACAGGGGAAGAGGAGTTTATTGGCCATAAGGAGTTTGAGGTATTACAGAGAATGGCAACATCAGACAGGTGGAATAATCCAGTGGCTGAAGGGGTCTGTCAGTTGCTCTTAAAGATGGTAAGGTGTTTGCGAAACCCTGTTTATGGTGAGTTTTTGGTTCTTTTTTCTTTTTCTCTTTTTCTTTCCTCCTGCAAAGTCATAGAATGTCGTTCCACCCAGGGCGAGGGTGTCCCCGAGGGCGGGGAGGACATGGAGCCAGACCCTCAGCCCCAGCCTTCAGGCCCCAAAATCTGAGACTGCTTCACCCTCAGCAGCCTCCTGTGCAATATCAATACGAACCTCCAAGTGCCCCTTCCACCACATTCTCGAACTCTCCAGCCCCCAATTTTCTGCCTCCACGACCAGACTTTGTCCCCTTCCCTCCTCCCATGCCTCCATCAGCCCAAGGCCCTCTTCCTCCCTGCCCTATACGGCCCCCCTTCCCAAACCACCAGATGAGGCCCCCCTTCCCCGTGCCTCCTTGTTTTCCTCCTATGCCACCTCCGATGCCCTGTCCTAATAACCCCCCAGTCCCTGGAGCACCTCCTGGACAAGGCACTTTCCCCTTCATGATGCCCCCTCCTTCCATGCCCCACCCCCCACCCCCTCCTGTCATGCCACAGCAGGTCAATTATCAGTACCCTCCAGGATACTCACACCATAATTTCCCACCTCCCAATTTTAATAGCTTCCAGAACAACCCCAGTTCTTTCCCGCCCAGTGCTAATAACAGCAGTAGTCCTCATTTTAGGCACCTCCCTCCATACCCACTCCCCAAGGCTCCCAGCGAGAGAAGATCCCCGGAAAGGCTCAAACACTACGAGGATCACAGGCACCGGGATCACAGTCATGGGCGAGGCGAGAGGCATCGGTCCCTGGATCGGCGGGAACGAGGCCGAAGTCCTGACAGGAGAAGACAAGACAGCCGCTACAGATCAGATTATGACCGAGGGAGAACGCCCTCCCGTCACCGGAGCTATGAGCGCAGCAGGTAAAGCACACGTTGTTTTTAATGAACTGCAGAGGTCCAGACACGGGCCATCTGGGTTTCTCAGAAAACCAAACCAAAACGGTCCCGCAGTGCATTTTGATTTATAAAGGGAAGAAAGCGTGTTTGGGACTGTTTTGAAGAGGAAGAGACAACTGACAAGTAGTTAATGTTAGAAAAGCCACTTTTGAAAAGCATTTCAAAATTATCAATGTAGATTCATTGCAATGAGTGTAAGCTCATTACTCTGCATAATACAGCTCACATTTAATGGCGCTCTAATGAAAGTTCACATACTGCTTTTTCGTGTGTTTTCTGCATTATCATATTTACTTTTGTTCAGTATGATCACCGTATCAGGTTAAAGCACCTGAGTTCTTTTGGAATTGATCTGTGTATGCTATCAATTGAACTAGTTAAGCAGAATTTGCTTTCTGGTTTTTAGGATAAGTGGAAGTTTATTGTACATAGTTGCCTTCTTGCTCTGTTTCCTTGTAAAGTGCAATAACATTGGTTACACATCAAAGTTTTCAAAATAGTTTTTAACTTGATTTTGTTGCATTGAAATGTATTCATATTGAAGAAAGTTGTGTTTGAAAAATACTGCTTCATTCCAAATTACATTTGTTTTTTTTTCAAGAGACCAAATATTTGTACCAGATATACATAAGAAAGTAAGGT